ACCGCGACGACGACGAGGCTGACCCTGTCCAGCTGACTTTATCACTACTAGACTCAATGACAATGTCATTCTCTGGCTATCTGACTGGTACTCCGTTGGTGCCTAGTTTTAAACACATCATACGTAATAAAATGTAGATTACTGTAGAATAGTAGCTTCATCGCACCTTGGATACGCATGAATAGCAGATTGCCTTTGTCTTCAATAACTTTTATGAATGAAGAGCAGACTCGAAAGGCGAAAATCTGAAGCAGACCTCGTCAGCATATGACCGTTATAAAGTGAAAGTCTGGTGTTACAATATATACGTCTTACAAGATTTCCAATAGCATTATGTCGGAATTTACTTGAAGTAGTAGGCCTGACTTACGATGGAAGGGCTGCTTACGGACTTGGAGGTAAATCGGAAACTGACATTGATCGTTATGTTCTCTGTGTTTGCTAGCTACCTCGACAATGCAGTGAACGGTTGGCTGTGGAGCACTGTCGGCTGCGCTGCGCAAAGCCTTGGATATGAAGCTGGCTGTATCGTCTTGATGTGTGGCTGGACTAATCACTTGATGTTCTTGAGCAGATCCTTACATTCCCCCCGACTTGACTTAGCCACGATATCTTGAACCTTGAAGCCGCAATATGAAGTTGAAGTTGGTAGTACCGTAACCCTTCTGGATACGGACTAGTACCGAAAAGTCCCTAACGAAGAGACTTTTGCAAAGCACGAGCTGCGCTGTTGCGTTGACGAAGGTCCTTGAGTAAGTCCTTCCAGTGGCTAACATGCTTGATATCACGCTCACGCTCCCAAGTGTTTTCATGAGAGGGAAGCCCATGCCACTTGACCAAGTACTCTGGCTTCCGGTTGAACATGCGCTTCCGGATCAGAGCTTCGACAACATGGAGTTTTTCGCCATCCTCGTCGAACACCACCGGTGTTGACTTTGGAATCACACGCCCACGGAATTATTCCGGATTGCTGTTGTAAGCCTTCAGCTTATTGATATTGAAGCGCGCGCTGAGATGCTTGAGATTCGCGGGTAGATCCAGTAAGGCAACATTGCCATGTAACTCCAGAATGGTATATGAGCCGATGAATCGTGGGATGAACTTGCGCGAACGTAGTGACGTTTCAGCAGTAGCATGAGAGATGTTCAAGTCCTGCGTGGACAACAGCGCTAGATCCCCAACCTTGAAAGGATTGTCGGCGCGGCGCTTGTCATAGAACTTCTTCTGAGCAGCTTGAGCAATCATCAGATTTAGTCGAGCCCGCTCAATCCCTTCCTGGCGATGATGCACGAAACGCGAAGCACACTCCACTCTCGACACTGCCACAGGTTCTCCATTGTCAACGGAACTCAGAGGATTCTTGGGTTTCCGACCGGTGTCGACAAAGAATGGAGACAGCTTGGACGAGCTAGACACCAAGGTTGCGTGCGCGTACTCAATCATCGGCAGATACTCGTTCCAATCGTTGCCGTGATATGAGATGGAGCATCGCAGCGAGTCCTCCAACGTCCTGTTTTGGTGTTCAGTCTGGCCGTCGGCTTGAGCACGGTGCGCCGTGGTCATCGCAGTCTTGATCTTCATCAAGCTTGTCAAGGCCGACCAAAACTTGGATGTAAACTTTGGTTCTCGATCGGAAATGATGGTCGGGGGATGCCATAGTATCGGATGACATTGTTAAAGAACAGCTTCGCTGTATCTTCCGCAGTAGCCGTTGTGTGTGTCGGGATATACACTGGCCTCTTAGACAACTTGTCAACAACCACCATAATCGCATCGAATCCATCCGATACTGGTAAATGCGTGATGAAGTCGGTAAAGACCACGTCCCAACATGCCGATGGCAATGGAATTGGTTGAAGCTTGCCCGCTTTACGACCCGTGCTAGACTTGTATCTCATGCAGGACTCACAGTTTCAAACGTACTCCTTGATGTCAATATCCATGCCAGGCCAGTAGTATTATAGCGGCAGAAAATGATGGGGCTAGCTAATCCGAAATAAATTATTATCTTTGGATAATCGGCGATAACTTCACCAAAATAGCCTTAAATTAAGTGCAAAGGGCGCGGATAGAAAGCTGAGGTTTCGTAGTTCCTTCTTCCATAAATTAAGACTCTTCATCTCTTTCATTTCAGGAAGCGCAGTGCAACGCAGACACCAGCTCAGTCCGGGCGAGAAAACCCTAGTTTGCAATGTATATGGTTATTTCGTCGCCGAGGCCAAAGCAGGCAGAAGTGGAGGGTGGGACTCGCGCGATCGAACTAAAGAGGCGACGCGCCTTGGGAAAAGCACAGCTTTTCGGGTGCTCTGGGCATGGAACCTCGACCCAGACACCAATTTCGCCGAGGTGCGCTTGTCGTTTTGGCCCATGTAGGGTTAAAACTGCTCTGTTGTGATATCATATGAAATTCTTACAATTTTATGCTTTCGCTAGTAGAATGTACCATCCACAAGAAGCTCATGAGGAAGATGGTGGGTAATCACTCTTTAAAAATATACAAATCCTTCTTTTTAAATTTGAACGTTTTATTTTTAACGCCTGTTTGTACAGCTGTTTTGCCCTTTCCACACTCTTGACCAATAGAATATCAGCATCATAGCAACTGTTTCCCCGTTTAAAGGTCCTTGGAGACACCTTTCCCTTCATTTTCTGCCGCTACAATACCACTGCGCAGCGGCTAACTGCGTGCGGCGAACACCAGGGTGTGCCATGATGGCGGCATCATGAACGTTGTGGATGACATCCAAGCGCAGTTGTCGATCATTCGGTACACACAAACGTCGAACGCTGTCACTACCCTTTAAGTAGATCAGTCCATCGAGCAACTCGTAGTCGCTGCTATTGGTCTTGGTACGCCATTGTTTCTTGTAGGCAGGGTCGCTCGTGTAGGCCTTCTGATACGACTTCTTCGTGGCCCTATCGAGTTGGATGGAACTGACCGTCGTCGTAGGGTCAACTGCCGCAGCGTTCATCTGGATCTGCTTCTGTGAAGCCTTAACAACACATGCAGGTGATGCTGGGTGCTTGGTGCTTAGCATAATCGCTTGATCGCGCGACGATATGCTCAGCAGCTTTTCCGTCGTTGCCATGCGTCGCGCACTGGACTGCCGAATAGTTGCACATGTAGCGCAGGAAAACCGGAGGGCACAGACCGATAGAGTCGTGATGGCATCCTTGTCTCCTCCCCCTGGCGTAGCTGAAGCCGTCGGTGGACGTGAGAGGGCGTCAGCTACCACGTTCTGCGAACCGGGCCGGTGATGTAGCTTGATGTCGAATGATGCAAAGAAGTCAAGCCACCGAGCCAGTCGTCCAGAGACTCGGGGGTGCTGAAAAAACCATTTGCAAGCCGAGTTATCCGTGACAACGTCAAAATGGGTCCCATGCAAGTGCTGGCGCCACCTTGTGAAGGCTTGCTTGATTGCAAAGAGTTCTTTTTCATGCACGGGCCAGTTGAGTTCGTGAACGCCGAGCTTCTTGCTATAGAAAGTCACTGGTAAATCATGCCCGTCGCGCATCTGCGAAAGAACATCACCGACGCAGTCGTGGCTGGCGTCTGTCGTGACAATGAAGAACCTGCCAAAGTCGGGTAAACGGAGGACGGGAGCCTGCTGGAGCGCCAGCTTGATGGCATTGAAAGCGCGCCGTTGGGGCTCCTCCCAGACCCAGTCCACGTTCTGCTTCACCAGAGAGCTCAGTGGCAACACCAGTTGCGCAAAACCATGAATGAACCGGCGATAGTACCCAACAAGCCCCAAGAAGCGCTGCAGCTCTTGGACGTTACCAGGCTCCCTCCATTCTGCGATAGCACGAGTCTTGCGGGCGTCGACATGGAGCCCCTCACTAGAAATTGTGTGGCCCAAGAAGTCTACAGAGCTTTGGCCGAAGTCACATTTGTCGGGCCGAGCGTAGAGTTTGTTGGTACGAAGCACCGCACAAACGTGACGTAAATGCTCCACATGCTCCTCCATGGAGCGCGAGAAGATACAAATGTCATCCAAGTAAACCACCACAAAGCGAAAAGAATGCAAGAGTTTTCGCATCAGACGGGTCCAAGTGCCCGGCATGCCAGCAAGGCCCATGGGGGCAACATTCCACTCGTAGATCTCGTGATTGGTACGAAAGGCTGTGTACTTCTTGGACGTAGGCGACATACGCATCTGGTGGTACCCACTAGCCAGATCGAGGATGGAGAACACCGTCGCACCTTCCATCTGCTCAATGTGGGGTAGCGGGATCTTCGCCACATCAGAAGCAGCGTTGACGAGCCGATAGTCAATAACCCAGCGAATTGGCATGTGGGGATCGGCAGAGCGCAGCCACTCCAACCGTGACGGAAACTTGCCAGTAGTAGGATCCTTTTTCGGAACCCCAAAGATGTTGCTGACCCATGGCGAGTCTGATACTTGAATCCAGTTCTTCTTTAACAGATCAGCCACAGAGAGCTCCAATGCGGCTTGTTCCACCTTTGACAGCCGAAACGGAGTGCGGTTACGAGGTTTCGCTCCTGGTTTGAGCACTACCTCGTGCTCGATCGATCGATGTGGAGGGAGTTCAGGTGGAAGCTCACTTGGAAAGACGTCGGCATATTCGTCGAGCACCACTTGCAGCGGTGATGGCACTTCCCTCACCTTCGGTGATGTCTTCACCGTCACATGATATTGTTCAGCGTACTCATGGGCTTGCACTTTCTTCACGAAGTGAGCAGCCGAGACAGACAAAACGGCCGTATCTGCAGAGCCTGCTGCTGTGTCTTCCTTATGAGGTCTTGCTAAAGCGTGGTCGACCATTGACAGGCCACTTGGACCTAACGGCAAATGGAAATACCCGGCCTTGGTGTGAGCATCCAGCTGCTGTCGCAAGTTGACGGGGAGCGGGTGCTGACGAAATTCGGGCTTCACTTTCACGGCATCAATTGCTCAGGCGTCGGGTCACCAACGTGTAGCGAGCGGTAGTCGCACGCTATTCTCTGCTTTCTGAAGTGCATTTCACCGGTCTTCCAATCAATATCTGGGTTGAAGTGGGCGAGCCATGGATGACCAAGAATCACGTCTTGATTGGTCGACACTTCCCACTCAATGAGAGGGACATCACTGAAGGCACGACCCGCAAAGGTCAGCGACTCCAAACAACGTTGCGCCACACGAGTCGGTGTGGTAGAGCCGTCAAAGCGCTCCGCCGTGACCTTGGCGGCATCGACGACATGTCGAGCAAGACCGGGACGCACGACGTTCTGCTCGGCGCCGCTGTCGATAAGGATCCGTACAGGCTGTTCGTTCATCACTCCATCCAGCCGCAACAGTCCTTGGGACGATGAGACCGAATCATTCAGCCGCGCAGCCACCATGTTCAGCTGCATGCTCTGCATTACTTCCACCTCGTCACTGCTGTCGTCGTCGCCCTCGTCTTCCACGACACGACGGAAGGTGCTCTGATGGGCGCTAAAGGATGGCTACCCACGAGTTTGAGTGGAGGGGCCACGCGAGGCATTGCGACCTTGACGCTTGGGGCAACTGGATAAACGATGACCTGGTTCCTTGCAATAGAAACACAAGCTGTTTCGCATGCACTCATCACGTGACACAAACCATGAACTGCCAATCTCCATCGGCGTCGGTTCTTCGACGGATGCTCGAGGCGGTTGACGTGCAGGCACGTGAGTTGAATCCTTTCCGTGCCTTCGAGCACCGACGGAGTGGGTGCGGTCGTACATCAGCGCAAACGAGATGGCATCGGTCGTGTTGCGGAATTGGCGCAGCTTGACTTCTTGACGGATCTCTACCGAGAGCCCCTTCTGGAAGTGCATGACCTTGTCGATGTCTGACATGTCCTCCACTTTGCAGATAATGTTGCGAAAGCTGGAAACGTAGTCTTCAAGGCAGGCAACGTTTTTCTGCCGCAAACTTAACAGCTTATCCCGGAGGTGTTCTTGCTTGTCTGGGGCCGTGAACACGCTCGTCAGCAACTCTTAAAACTGAGCCACCGACTGCAGGAAGTTGCCTTCGTGAGAGACATACTCACGGTACCACGCAGCAGCGGGGCCTTTGAGATTGGCCACCAGCAATGCCAAAGGCCGTTGCTGTGAAGATTGGTCACCGTACTGGATATTCTTCGACTCAAAGTACAGCCGCGCGCTGAACATGTAATTCGCTACGTCGGCGTCCTTCGTGCCGTAACACATGGGCATTGTGATGCCCTCTGCACGATACTCCCTTGTATCAGGAGCCGGCGCTGCATCCACAGGCTGCGCTTGAGGGGCTGGCACTTGTTGCTGCTGCTGAAGCGTCGCTGCCATTTGTTGTTGTAGCTCTGCAGTGTGTGCTAAGAACTGTTGTTGCTCGCGCATCATAGCTGCAAGCGAAGCGAACATCTGCTGAACACTTTCGGTATCCATTGCGCCTACGCTGGTGTCCAACGTTGTCACTAGATGACCTAGGCGCGCAAGCTCCTAGGCTAAATCAATCACTGAAGTCGCAGCTACTCCCCGGAGAGCCGCATTCGTCAATTCCAGGAGCCAACGACTTGCAGGTACTAACCGGGTGCAGCTCAGTCGGCGCAAGCTTACGACGGCCTCGTAGCACGGAGACTACTACTACTCGCTCGCAAACGGCAACCGCGCAGAGGTTACACTCGCGGGGCACACAGCAAATCACTGACTGTTTGCTGCGTGCGCCCGGAATATGCGCTACGGCGCTGCCAACCAATCGGGTGGCACTCTTGGAAGGGTCGTGGGACAATGCACCACGACACCCCTCCCCCAGAAGAAAAGGCTGGAGGGAGAAGATGGGAGAAGGCTCAGACGGACGGAAGGCTCGGACGGACGGAAGGCTCGGACGGACGGGAGGTCGGATGGACGGAAGAGGGCGGAGAAGCGAAGCGTTGTATAGCAAGTGCTACCAAGTGTAAGGGCTGCTTACGGACTTGGAGGTAAATCGGAAACTGACATTGATCGTTATGTTCTCTGTGTTTGCTAGCTACCTCGACATGCAGTGAACGGTTGGCTGTGGAGCACTGTCGGCTACGCTGCGCAAAGCCTTGGATATGAAGCTGGCTGTACCGTCTTGATGTGTGGCTGGACTAATCACTTGATGTTCTTGAGCAGATCCTTACATACGATACTTCGCTTTTACTGATATGACAGTTTTGGGCGGCGTCCATCTTTGGTCTCATTAAAAATTCTAATCGGATTTTAAAGTATCAGCGAGATTAAACACAACAGAAAAGCGGCGCGTTAAAGTTTAATCACAATTGTAGGTAGCAACGCGATTAAAAACATGACTGCACTTTCATTGCCACTGCTTCCACCAGCAACGCCTATTAGTGACATTCACGTTTACAGTAGCGGGCGTTCTGGCGCTGAACTGCTGGAAGCTATCGATTCCATATTGTGTGCATCATCAGAGGATGAAATGGACCCACAATCATTGGTCGTGACTGCTGACGTCGTCCCCAAAGTCATTACGCCTGCGAGAGTGACAAATTGGACCGTTAAAAACCCAGGCAAAGTCCTCCCCGCCGAAAATCAACGACTACGAATTGTGGACGGTGGCGCAGTTAAGAAAGGAATGCACCGAAAGAAACCTCCGTCTTTCCCGAGCGACTAGCAAACAGGAGCAAATACGCTACCTGCGATCGTATGACGCAACAAAACGAGCTGTCGAGGCTACGGTGGACGAAGATATTCTTCTGGAACCGGGCTTACGGAAGACAAAGAATTGCTTCATTAGGCTCATGAATATTATCTTCTCCGACCGCTTTGCGGAGCGTCTTGCTCGGTCAGACGACACCGTGACGCGTGAGCAACTTGACGTAGGTGAAGTGAATGACAAGTCAACATTCTGGAAAGATGTTGGTGTGAGTTTCGGCGAAATACTACCGACTACAACAAACTATTCGACAAGGCAGCCGACAACCCAAGGTTCGGCAACATTAACCCCTCCATGATCGTGCACCACGATGACGCCAAGCTCTACGACATGTGGAAAAAAGACAACGCAAAGTACACAAGATAAATAATTTTCGTCTCCGGCCAGAACAGCAACGACTTCTACATTTTTTGTGACGGCAACTTAGATACACTCTATCTAAAGATCTGCACTGAAGTTAAACCCGAGCTCGAACACTACGTCAATGGTGGCATGCACCCAGAAGATGAAATTGACTCATTGAAGCTAGCTGTTTCTCGCCGCATCACACCTACCAACAAAACAACTAAATGGCAGAATCAAGTGGTTTGTACGGTAACCAGGATGGCAGATTATCTGATGGGAGCTCCAGTTACATCTTCAACGGCTTCATTGAGCACTCGTGGAACCCAAGATGAGAGCCAGCTCATTGATCGTATCGCAAAGTTGCATCAGCTCATTGCTCAAGTAAAGGAAAGTCAACGGAAACCGGAGATGGATGGAGCTACCGATCCTTCACTAGAGGCGAGTCTTCTGAAGTATCAGCAGCGCCTACACCGCAACGAGAACCAACTGGAGGCTATGGATTGACGTCACAACACTTACAGATCAACGTCCACGAAGACTTAAAAAAATCTCGACCTCGCAGACGTGGACATCCGTGTTTTTTTGCTGGATATGAAGCGTTCAGATAATAATGCCTCACATACGAAATGGAACTCAGTGTTTTGGCATTTAACGATACTAATGAGGCTTATAGCGTTTCTCGGTTCTGCTGTGCTCGTCTAGCAATATTGCGCATTGGACGCAAAATCGCTTCGTGCTCAATTAGCCCAACCAGCGCATTGCGGGCCCACTCCGAACAACTGGTTGTGTCTCCATCAATTGCTAGATCTGACGACTGATACAAACGCCGATAGATCGAAGCATCGTGTAATTCTATCGTTGCATCTTGTATGGCTACTTGTTCACGGCCCTCCTCGTCAATAGTATCAATTAAGTCTTCGTCATCTCCACACAGTAGCGGTTGTTCTCACGCAGGCGTTGGTTGATCCACCAGTTGTGCAGGATACAAGCGGCTAATATAGTAGAAGGGACCCGTTTTAATCCAATTTCTAGTGGCGCCTTGAACACACGCCACTTGCACACCAACAGACCAAATGCCATCTCAATTCGGATGCGGAGCTGACTCAGATGAAAATTATAGCTGTCATGTGCTGCAGATGATATTCGTGGCCTTGGAAATGGGGTTAAAAGGTGATTTGTGTTGGTGTATGCATTATCACCAACAACGTAAAGTCCACTCGGGAGGTTTTCAACAACATTTGAAAGCTGCCACTTTAGATATGCTACCGCATCCCCAGATCCTCCAGGACTTGAGCAGGTAACTGCAGTGAACCGGCTGTGGTGGTCACAGCAAGCTTGAACATTAACACCGTACCGTTGATAGTGACCACTAAAAAACGAACGAACTCTCGCGACTTCAGCTCTGGATGGAACTTGAATCGGGCAAAGCCATCCGTCAATTGCCCCGATCCAACCTTTAAATAATCCCGAGTTACTAAGTCTTGTTAATGCCTTGGCTGCGTGCCGTTGCTCGGTTAACGTTGTACGAAAGTTTAACTGGAGATCAGGGTGTGAAATTATGGCGTCTACCACCTGATGAATTGACGTGTAAAATGCTCCGACACGTACACCAGAATTGATGCGAATAACGTGAAACGAACCACCACTTAGCCAACGTAGACACATCTGAATCTTGTTAATGTGTGTAATTGGTTCCGTCCCCGTCCGGTTACGTGACTGCTGAGATATGGCTATAACTTGGCTGCAAGTGCCATGAACGACGCATAAGACATCTTGTACATCCTGCGAAACTGTCCTTCATCAAGTAAAAGCTGCGAGTGCACCTCCCAGTTGATGCGGTTACGTAGAAGACAGCTTCGACGAGCAGTTGCGGGGAGTGTTGCGGTCAGCACTATCAGGAGAAGAAGTATGATCAGGACCATCACTTTCGACTCCATGTCGTGTGGCGTCATGAAAAGAAGATTTTCACGATATCCAACAAAGAATATTCTGCTTAACTTTAAATTTTGTATGTGGCGCGGTGGCACTTGCCCGTGGGATGGCACCAAAATTCTGCCATTGTAGCAGTTAGGGGTAGGTCTTTCAGAAAAATGGACCAATCAGAATATCCGATTTTGTAGCATGGCATGGCACGACGCGGTTAGGAACCACGTGTTCCAGCAACCGTTTTGGGTGCGCATTAAATCGATTTGTAATGTATTTTAAGTTACCGATTAAACTGAATTTACTGTATTTGAATTTTGGAAGGCACCCAGTGGGTAAATGGTTTTATACTGTATAACGTTTCTCTGTAAAATGATTTAGGCCGTGTTCGGTTTGCAGGGGCAAATCCAGCTTGTAAAATAAGCTAGAGCTGTAGAACAGTCGTTTTGTTGAGTAAAATAAAGATAAAAATAAGTGATCGTGTTCCATCAGAAAAAGGCTGAATTTGAAGGGACGAATCAAAATTCAACCCAGAGCTGAATTTTGAAACCGAGCTATGTCATTTTTTGTGTTTCTTAGCGGAATAAAGCTGGTTGAGACATTCCAGCTCTTTAATAAGAATTACAGACACGGCCTTAATTAGTTTAAAATCATTAAATTTAAATTTAAAGTCGTTAAGTGCGCACCAAAATGGTTGGTGATTATAAGCTTAAAAAGATATCTGACTGTACGCTGATCGCGGCGATCACTGACTCAGACTTGTATTTCAGATGCCGCTCGTTTCTAAGAGCTCCCTGGGCACAGGTCGAATGGGGCTTTCTGCTAGTGGTATTGCTTGACATACACGTGAGAGAGAAGGTGGCACAGCTGTATTCTCAATGAAGTGCGAGCACCGATTAGGCCATTTCGCGTCAAGATCGTCAATAAAGTGCATTTTTAGGACTGTTTGGGAAGTCAGCGTCTAAACCTGGCGGGTCATGCCAGGACCGATTTTTGGCGCCAAGACTCGAAGCAATTCAAAAACCCCGCGAAAAAGGGCACGCGCCAAAAACGGGAATAATGTCAAGATCTGTCCAATGAACGAGCTCCATAGTCCAATTTCCATCCAATCCTCGTCGAGATTTCACTCGTCCTCACCTTCACCACCCACCGAGTACCAATCAGTCTTCAATCCTCCACCTCCAGAGCACGTTACCGACCAGCTCAATCGCAACGATGTACGTCGTCAAGCGCGACGGTCGTCGCGAGGACGTCAAGTTCGACAAGATTACGGCTCGCATCACCAAGCTCTGCTACGGACTCAACCCGGACTACGTCGATGCCATCAAGATCTCGCAGAAGGTCGTGGCTGGAGTGTACCCCGGCGTAACCACATCCGAATTGGACGAACTCGCCGCCGAGACCGCCGCGTACCAGAGTACACAGCACCCGGACTTTTCCAAACTGGCAGCACGTATCGCCGTGTCCAACTTGCACAAGAACACGAACAAAGTGTTTAGTGACAACATCGAGGTGTTCCACAAGAACGCCCACGAGAAGACGGGGGCAGCTGCGCCGCTTATTGCTGATGACGTATACGAAATTGTGATGCAACACAAAGACGAGCTCAACTCGGCCATCATCCACGACCGCGACTTCGAGTACGACTATTTTGGCTTCAAGACGCTCGAACGCGGCTACCTTTTCCGCGTGAATGGCAAGGTCGTGGAGCGTCCGCAGCAAATGATCCTACGTGTGGCCCTGGGCATCCACAAGAGCGACATCACGTCCGCACTCGAAACGTACGAACTCATGTCGCAAAAGTTCTTCACGCACGCCACCCCTACTCTCTTCAATGCGGGCACGCCACGTCCCCAGCTGTCTTCTTGTTTCCTCTTGGCTATGCAGGATGACTCGATCGAGGGCATCTACGACACTCTAAAGCAATGCGCCTGTATCTCGAAATGGGCGGGCGGCATCGGTATCAGTATGCACAACATCCGCGCCACTAACAGCTACATCCGTGGCACGAACGGCTCGTCCAATGGCATTATCCCCATGCTGCGTGTGTTTAACGACACAGCGCGCTATGTGGACCAGGGCGGAGGGAAGCGCAAGGGCTCCTTCGCCATCTACTTGGAGCCTTGGCACGCCGACGTGTTTGAGTTCCTGGATCTGCGTAAGAACCACGGCAACGAACTCCACCGCGCCCGCGACTTGTTCTACGCGCTCTGGGTGCCTGATCTCTTCATGAAGCGCGTAGAGGCCAACGGCAAGTGGAGTCTCTTCTGTCCTAACGAAGCCCCGGGCCTCTACGAGTGCTGGGGCGACGAGTTCGAAACTCTGTACGAAAAGTACGAGACAGAAGGACGTGCGCGTAAGACCATCAACGCGCAGCAGCTGTGGTTCGCCATCTTGGACGCTCAGATCGAGACTGGCGTACCTTTTATGCTGTACAAGGACGCAGCCAACCGCAAGTCGAACCAACAGAACTTGGGGACCATTCGCTCCAGCAACTTATGCTGCGAAGTGATGGAGTATACATCGCCTGATGAGGTGGCGGTGTGCAACTTAGCGTCCGTCGCGCTCCCTAAGTTCGTGGAGGACGCCGTGTTCGACTACCGCAAGTTGTACGAAGTGGTCAAGGTGATTACGCGCAACCTCAACAAGGTCATAGACGTCAACTATTATCCCGTAGCAGAGGCTCGCAAGTCCAACATGCGGCATCGTCCTATTGGCATTGGCGTTCAAGGTCTGGCTGACGCCTTCATCTTGATGAACTACCCGTTCGAGAGCCCGCAAGCTCAAGAATTGAACAAGAACATCTTCGAGACCATCTACTTTGCTGCCATGGAGACGTCCATGGAGATTGCCGTGGAGTTGGGACCTTACGAGACGTTCCAGGGCTCGCCAGCCAGCAAGGGGATCTTCCAGTTCGATATGTGGGGTGTCACACCTCAATCTGGGCTTTGGAATTGGGCCGCACTGAAAGATGACGTAATCAAACATGGTCTTCGCAACTCGCTGCTGGTTGCCCCCATGCCCACAGCCTCCACGGCCCAAATCCTGGGCAACAACGAGTCTATCGAGCCGTACACGTCCAACATGTACAACCGTCGCGTGCTGGCTGGCGAGTTCACCATCGTCAACAAGCACCTGATGAAGGAACTAATCGAGCTCGGAATCTGGACGCCGGAAGTACGCAATCAGATTCTGAATGATGGTGGCTCAGTCCAAAAGATCAAGACCATTCCGGAAGACGTTAAGGAGAAGTACAAAACGGTGTGGGAGATCAAACAGAAGGCTGTTCTGGACTTGTCAGCGGACCGAGGCGCGTATATCTGCCAGAGTCAGTCGCTGAACATCCACATCGCTGACCCGACTATCAGTAAGCTCACGTCCATGCACTTTTACGCCTGGAAGAAGGGACTCAAGACCGGCATGTACTACATGCGTGGACGTCCGAAAGCCGATGCCATCCAGTTCACCGTGGATAAACAGGGTATCGACTTGCAGCGTGCTAAGGAGGAGGCAACCAAGACTGCTCCGACCCCCGCTGCGGAGACGGTGACCCGGGCAGGTGATGATGAGGACGAGTGTCTGGTGTGCGGAGCATAAGGGTGTGCTGTTTGGTGATTCCAGATTAGATATTCATTTCGTAGGACGTATTACAGAATTCAAAGCTGCTTGGCAAGATCGCTCTTTTTCGAAAAGCTTCGAAAAGTCTTAGCTACTATACTACATATTCGTTGACCGATAGTTTTGCAGATCTGGTGACTTTCCTTAAACTAAAAATTGGTCGACATTTAAATGCGTGTAAATATTTTTTTTTTTTTATGGCACTTCAGTGTTTGTGCATGCACGACCTATACCGCGGTTACAGTTGTGTAATTTTGACGATCAAATTCAAATTAATAATAACATAATATGCACGATCAGCCATGAATGCACTTGAGGAATCGCGGATCTGTTAGGCTCCCTCACCGCAGCATCTGCGCGGGATTGTGGATAGCACATTGTATTTCGTGAAGCAGGTTACTACAACTACAATACGCTAGTCATTACTTTAAAATTCATTATTATGGTTTTTTCGTCCTGGCAGACGGCTTTTCATGCTGCTTGGATTATTTAAATATGGCCGTTATTTCATCATTTGTAATACTTCGAAGTAAAGGATCATCGTATTTTGTACTTCACGATGTACAAAACTCATACTTAAGTATAAAACTTTTAATCAGTTAAGCTGACAACTTAAAATAAAAAAACGGCTCACATCAGTTTAATCGGAAAATTAACAAATCAGTTTTCCAAAACGGTTGGAACACGATGATGAAGTTCAGTCACGTGTTTTATCATGTTGGTACTGTACTTAAAAGTCGGATTGAAATTGATACCATTTTTTGCTTCTCTACTCATTGTGTATTTTTCGCACAAATATAGAGGAAAATACTCCTAAAGGATAAGTTTTACGAGAGATTTCATGCAATTCTCTGACACCTGAGAAATAGTCGTTTTCTTCCAAGTCTTCTTGCCTTGGATCTTGGTGTATAGTGTGAATCGCAGCGAGTATCCATTCCCGGCTCTGTCAATGTTTAAGCTACGGAAAGTCGCCACCCCCAAAAAAGATTGAGGCAACACTTCGAAACATACCGCTGCGTTGATGGTCGAGCTCTTCATTTAATTTAATTAACAACAGTAGATCGAGAGTTCTATCAAATCAATGCGGTTTTAAGGTAATAATAAATTGTTCCACATCCAACTCTCGTTTGAAGTCTTACCGCTGTAATGTAATAATGAATAAGGAATCATGCAATCGTACGGCTGGGTTTATTGCACGTATACTGCTAAAACCCTCGCAAGTTTTGCCGGATACGCTTCTAAAAGCGGTGCCCATCGGCTGGCTAGAATCTGGATAAAAGCAAACAATCTTGGTTTCACCTAGGCATACCAAGATCATTAATATGAAACGTGTGTCAAACATTTATTTTTTAGCGAGCTTAAGTACGAATCGCGAATTTCACGATGATCACTATTTTATTCTAGACGGGCAGAGTATTCAGTAGCAGACATTAATAGTTGTCATCCTGCTCGGATGTTAGCTCTCGACGTTGAATTGATGCTCAAATATGGTATACCTTAGAAATTGGCGGGAGCAAATACCAACACTTGGTGGGGGGGGACTTGAGATCATGTAGCTCATACTTGAAGAAGTGAATTAATTGGAGCGCCAAGAAAAATTTAAAACTACTTGACTAACACGCACTGCTCTCAGGACGCTTCCTTTTGCACTATGCAGCTTCGAATCGAAGCCAGTCTGTCGAAGTCGTACCATCAAGATGGCGCGGTACAGCGCTTTGCGGCGAGCTTACGGTGTTTCCATTTTTTAGTCTACTCGATAGATATCTACTGGCATGTAGAAAATCCATATTGGAAATTGTTACTTGATCGGAAAAAAATCCGTCAATTTCTCGAGAAAAATAGCACCCATGTACATACTTAAACCCACGCAGAGTTGCAGCTTAAAAGTGCCTGTGTGTCTCTGAGTCAAACCTGGGTACGCACAGCGAAGAACACTTGCTCTCTTTCTGCTTCTCTAATCCATTCACTCGTCCATATACGTAAATTTTGGCGCCAAATAAAGTATTTCAAACTAGCTCGACCTGAGCAATATGATATACCGCTATACCTGAAAATAGAGTCGTCCAATGGTCATATCTGGTAGGAAAGGTTATCGTGTACCAAATAGATAAATAAAAGTGATAAAGTGTGTTGAAAAACGAAGCGTCAAAGATGAACGCATGCTGGATTTTCTGAGTCCGACCTACGTGACGAAAAAGTACTGTAGACTCGCAATCAGCCTGACCCGGACGATTACACTTGTTGCTGAACGGACAAGTATGTATTACACCTGTCCGATATCCACATTTTATTATTAAATAGAGGAATAATTTTAAAGTATCAATACTGGACTATACTGGTATTGATAAATTAACTAGCCATTTTAACCAGCCGTCGCTGAGTACGTCGAATAAAGAACCAAAAAGAAGACAGACTTTAGCTATGAGAAGCCCCAATCTCCCAGTAAAATAACGACTAGATTATCTTCAGCTCGGTTTGTATCGGAAGTAAGACCCTTGTTTAATTAAGAATATAATTACTAAAGCAAAAGGAGCAAGGTAGACAATAAATCAGCTATTATTCTTCAATAAAGCATCGTCTTTCTTATGGTTTTTGGCATGCACGCCTCAACATGGTTACCGCATCGCCCCTGTCCTAAGCGAACGCCCATGTTCGACGTTTACGGGTAAGATTACTAGCAAATCTCATAATTAATGCTAAAAAGTAAAAAATACCCCAAGCTGATCCAGTTGAATGTTCCGTTTGTGAATGACCTGCCTCTATAAATTTTAAAGTGGTTCGCTGGTGAGAGCTGTTAGTAGTATTTCGGTCGAACACTCTAGCAATGTGTACGCTGTCGCTCTTCCTTTTGAATCTTTATCACCCTGCTGCCTATATTTCGCTCATTAACGAGCAGCCATCTGTTTTGAATACAGCGCTGCCATTGGCCATAATCGAAGTTCGCTTAGGAGGGCGATGCGGTATTAAATAGTCAACAATTACAGGTTTGGGCGTGACGATATCGTCTTGAGGTGCTTTGTCTGCCTCTATCTCCGATTGTTACACTCAGTCAAAACGATCAGTTATGTGAAAAAGCTTGCATAATGGAATAAGTCTCTTGTACATTTGCTTACTATGTTGTCGCACTGTAGTTACGCTACGACCTGGGCCAACAATCGTTCAACATAAATTTAGTGGTACACATGACTATGCGACTTTTTTTAGCACCATTACAACGTTCATATTGTGCGTTCTACGCCAGCTGAGCCGCTCCAGCTCAATCTCGGTCAATCGCACAAACTAAAAAATACAACTCCGTTCCACTTCACTTGTCCCTTTCAACTTTTCAGTTACTTGTCCTCTAATGTAAACGTAGTTAAACAAATGTCACGAGTGACACGATGACCCTAGGACGCGCGCCTTACTCGAGCGACGAGGTACGGGACCGGCCACTTCAAGGTGATGGATTCTGGGAGCAGTCGCAAGCTGGAGCGACTGAACGTGAGGGCTACGCTAAGAGTTTGTATTGAGGTGGGAATCTTCTCGAAAGAACCCAACGTGCCCTCCTCAGTTGTGATATTGAGACCAAATACATGACGCTGGGTGGAACGACAAGGACGGGTGGCACGAGGGCCATTACGGAGTGCAGCACGATGATAAGATGTCCCAGGTCAGTAGGGGTGTCATGATTATGTCGAGGGGGGTTGTGTCAGGATCCGGTTAGAGCAGGGTGTTCACGGAAAGTATTAGAGAGGCGAATGCTGGTATTATTAAGACTGCAAAGGTCGAAAAGGATGGTAAGGTTTGTAGGATGATGTCAGTCGTGAATTTTCCCGGTACTAAACAAGTTGAGTGTTCGTATTAAGCTTTTTGGCCTGTAAACTACTACTGTAGTATTACTACTGCCTTCTAAGCCTCGCGCCGAGCCGTCTAATAACACATCGCTGCAGTACCGCCCCAAACTGGGATGAATCGCGACACGTGGTCGAGAAGCAGGGTACAGCTTCGTAGTGGGACCGCCATGCTCAAGAAACGCTCTGAATAGTCGATACGATTTGGAGCCGTTGCTGGAACGCGGGGAACTAGGTCCACGGATAAGTACAAGGTTAAGCGCAAGGGTGGTTCCCCGAGGGCGTTATCGTAAGATCAAGCTTCCATCTCCAAAGACGAGAATAGTGAATTAGTGTTGGTAGAGGAAGCGCTGAAGAAGAGTGCAGATTGACGTTGTGGAGAGCCGTCCGGGGTACGGCTGGATTTGTACGGTTGTGATTTGGTCAAGGGTTCGTGAACAACTGAAACGGTAGCTGGTGATTCGATTGGTAACCAGAGATGGACTTCTACGAAGAAGCGTCGGAAGTGAAACAGAAGAAGGACGCTACGAAGATAATCGTGACGGCGAAGAAGGAGAAGAGGGTCGACCTCTGAAAAAACCGAGAGGCTGGCTTAATCCGAGATCAAGTGGTCGGAGAAGACAGCGAGAGAGCGCACTGATGTAAGACAAGGAGGCGCTAACGAAGAAGGAAAAGGCCGCGAGAGAGCACACTGATGTAAGCCAAGGAGGCGCTAACGAAGAAGAGGCGACCGAAGGACAAGGACAGCCATCTTTAGATGCATTTGGAAGAGCGGGGCCGTCTGAGGTGATGAGGGAGCTTGGCCACCGGGATGGAAGAGTCCAAGGACGCTGCGCGGGAGACGACTACAGAACCTGTGGAGGGTAAGGGCGACTGTCAAAACGGATGTCAAGACGGATACTGACGTCAAGAAGGAGTATGATGAAGTTATTTGGGCCCTTGTTCAGTATGAAGGAGAACCGCCCGGGTACGGTGGTGGTAATCAAGGACATGCTTACGTGGATGTGTACGGCTATGGAGCCATGACGCGCGGCTACTATTTTGGTGCTGGCGACGACAGGACAGAGAAGAAATCTACGCTACAAAGATGTAGCGGGGCTACACGCAAGTGGTCACTTGGTTACGAAATCGATTTTTCACGTCGGAGTGAGATACACCAATGAATACATTTGGCAGACTGTTGGTCTGCATGCATTTAAGGCATTTATGGGTTGAAAGTCAATAGCTTCAACCAATTAGAATAGTAATATTCTTCCGACCATTCGTTGATAAATACCTTTCATTTAGAATATTAGATTAGGTGGAAAAATAAAAAAAACAGATAAACAGTTCTCATTTTTA